TTCTGTGTGGTAGAGAGTTGTCATTCAGCAGTCATTGGTAAATAAGTCCGTTACATCAAAACTGGCCAGAATATCCTGGGATCTGATGTGTAGCTGTCTGAGTTGTTCTATGCAATCTGTCGAGTTTTGAATGTGATGTTCGGTGTTTCCTCATAGTGGAGATAAGATAGGTACTAGGAAGGTAGCTAGTTGATGGTAAGGTGAGTTTATAGCACTGAAGATAGGCCTTTAAAGTATGTTGGGTTTGTGTACCTTCGGTTATCAGTAGAACTGAGGGGGGGAAGTTTTTGTTGGTTCTTAAGTCTTGGGCTAGCTTCTCATTAAGTTTTGTTTCTTAAATTTGTTCAGTGTCCTATTGATGAGTCTGTCTTTTCTGTAGGGTCATAGGTGATCTTTTTATATTGGTGTTTGTCTAGTAACTGCTTGATCTTCGTGTTATAATCTGGGATGACTATACTATTTTTTTTGTTAGCTGGTAAGATCTTGATATTGCTGTCTTGTTTTAGATGGTTCAGTGCACTGCATTCTTGTTTAGAGATGTTCAGTTTTGGTTTCTTGACATTTCTGAGGATGGTGTAAGTTTGATGTCGGAATTGTTTTACCATTGGTTTTGTGAAGTTTTGAGCAGCAGATTCTAAGGTTGCAGCTATCTCATCAGTTGGAACTGTGCTAGGTTGTATTGCGAAGTTTAGACCTAGGTTGAGAATCTTACACACACTGAACTGAAGACAAAAGGCAAAAAACTTTCGAAATGTCATCCTCTTCACTTGTGTCTCTACAACAGGCAGTTGTCATCTATTCTACAAAGTTTCATCATGAATACTCTGCCTAAACAATCTATCAAAGAACATGAAAATCATTTTGCACATGGAGCAGTCAGCAATTTGACTCCTTATATTCACAGACAAGTCTTTAGCAAAATTACTTAATTGAAAAATCAAATTTTTGTGTCCAAAAGACTTGTAATGTTTACAGAAAGCTGAGGTCACTTTGTTTAGGTAAGAAAAATATTCTAAAACACACATAGCTTAATTAGAAAGCCAGTTGAATTATAACAGTTCTAGGACATTGTTTTTTTCTTGATCATGTTAATATTTTGTGTCCTAAATTGCATATTTAAAATAAATAACAATTAAGTGAAGTACTAACAACATCTCTACATAAAGAAAATAAAGTAAACTTTCATTTAGACTTCGAGAATCAGAAAGTACTAAATTTCTTTTTTTTATTTAATGTTATAAAAGTAATAAAATGTAAAAATTAGATAAATGAATACTCAATAGAATGAACATGTTCACATAACATGTTGTAATTTGACTAAATATGCTGGTAACTTGATGCTGTGTTTACACAAAACAGCTGGGAGATTTGAATTGTATTAGCTTTGGCAGTAAGACCAAATTGTGTGTAACTGTTTATAACAATATGCAGTCATTCTAGAAAGATAAAAGAGTAATTCAGATTTATTTTATATTTGTTTGTGGTTGTTCTAAGGTCGATCAAATAGACCAAACCTGAATACAGTGTTTGATTAGAGAAAATTATAGATAGAATATAGTTTTACTGAAAAATAAGTTTTCATATCCAGTTAGGAGATTCTAGAGGTTATGCAAATGAAATGTGAAAACTAAAAGGAAAAAAAAGATATTTGTAATCTTAACATGAAAATCACCTTGAACTCAGACAAATCTTTATTAGAAATACTTAATTTAAAAATCTGATTTTTGCATGTAACAAAATACTTGTAATGTTTACTAAAAATATGCATAATTTCATGGTTAAAAGTGACTGAACGCATATACAGTTAACTTTCCAGGTTCAATAAGAGATTACTATTTTTGTCTATAATAAGTTTAGTGTTTAAATATATTTAAACAAAGTCAGACTGTAACAACCTATTAGAGAGTCCACATGTTCTTCTAGGTTATGTGTACCAACTAAAAAGGAATTACTTGCTTCAAGTGTTTTAAACAAAATTGGGTCTTAACAAGCTGTTAAAATGAGCCCCCATATTCTTCTAAGTTATATGTACCATCTATCACAGAATTCAGATTTATAATTTGGAAAAGAAGAGATACAAGATATGTGTTCTCACCTCTTCAAAGTGTTATCAGTGTAATGAGATAGAGAATGGTTCTTTAGTTGTCTCAACTGAGATTGAAAGGAAGGCAAATAAGTACCAAACCATGGTGTTCTTTTCAACAAGTCAAAAGTAGTAATATTATTTTTTAAATAAAAATAAATAAACTGCTAAAAAGACAAATTAGTAATGGGATCATTTGGTTTATGTTGAAAAAACAGTTTTCACGTTAAACAGAACAAAGTAGTTTCAATTTATGAAGCTAGTTAACTCTACATTGTAATAAAGTTATATTACAATTTTTACCAATATTAGGTAAGTGTAATTGTAAAAACTGAGCTCCCTAAAGCTCTTAAAGCCTGTAATGGTAAGTTAAAAAGATTTACAACATTGTAATTTGTCTCCATAGAATGTAATGTTTGTTGTGAAACTGGTAACTTGATGATGGTTGGTTAAGCTAAGGATTATTAGCAGCTTAGTATCAGTCTCATAATTACATGTCTTAAAACCAACAAAATTTGGTGATGCTGATTGTCTTCAAGTTGTATGACATGTACAGTTTTTAATATAATCTGCTTACACACATGTTCAATATATTTTGTCTAATGATGAATCTAGAATGAATTATAAACTAACTTGATTTTCTACTACTCTAAGCAAACTTTAACTAATAAGAAGACAAATGTTATCTGCAAAGCAGCTGAAGAATTACAGTATTTATGTACTAATAAGAATTTTTGAAACATTGCAAACTTTAAATGGGTAATTTTGAAGTTTTTTGTCATATAGATTTGTAAATCAAGATAATAAAATAAAATTTTTTTGTTTTTGAAAAATGAGATTTACTTTGAGTATAAGCTATCCAAACCTTTAAATATGAAAACAAAGGTTTTTGCAACAGTTTTGGGAAACTTTCTAAAAAAAAAAGGTTTTGTGTATCTAAAAAAATCTCATTGATAACAGTTGTAATGTTTTATCTCAGTGTAGTATTACTAAGCATCTTTTTTTTTCCAATGTGGGAGTTCTTATCTAAACAAACCACATGGTATTATTACTAATTTCACTTGTAAACGTCATCTACTTTACAAAAAGATAATTAGTATACCTCTTATTTTTTGGACTTTTTCCGTAAAAAGTGGAGTATGATGGATGTTTTTCCTCCTTTCAATCTCTGTATCACATTACACTAATGAGACTTTAAAACAGTGAGAACTCGTATTAGCAGTTTTTTGTCATTATTTGTTTTTAATTACAATATGAGAAAAACCCTTAAAACTTATGACTGGAAGACTAAAGTTATTATGAAATCATACAAGGGAAATAAGAAAGTAATGTTGAATAAAAGTGGCTATATTAGTAAGGTCATATGTAGGATAATAGCAAATAACTTGTGAAACTAAAGATCCAATGGAAGTGGAACAAAGTTACGAAACTATCTGTATATACACCACTGTTTTCTCCATCTGCAACAAATAACTACATATACACTGCTTACTAGTTTTTCATCATTCTTCTCATAAAATTTTATTTATCGTGTATAATGAAGAGGTAATATTTAAAAACAAGTTTTCTGAAGAATTACTAAGTGATTTATCTGAAATTTTTGAATGCTAATCCCCTCCTCGCCTCTTCCAAGTAGCTCAGTGGTAAGTTTGAGGGCTAATACTACTTAAAACTGGGTTTCAATATTCATGACTGGTTCAGCACAGATAGCCCATTTTGTAGCTTGTGCTTAGAAAAATAAATAAATGCTAAGCTTAACTTTGTAAATCATATATGCCTTGACTTTACACCTTTTGTTCAAATCTAGAACAAATCATGCCTTATTTGTTGTTTTCTTCTGTATGAATGTTCTCCTGGTGTGTCCAATACTTTGAGTGTCTCTAGACATTCTCCATCTTAATATTCTTTGTGTGAGAAACTACAACAGTCTTCTGTATACAAATGGAAACTCTGTAGTTTTTTTTACACACACACACACACACACACACATCCATTACTGCTGCTGCTTTGTGACTGATTAGCTACTTGATCTCTCATAATTGTCATGTCATTGTACAAAGTTATAAGAATATTAGTAGAAACATTAAAATCTCTAATCTTGAAATGTTATTAGGTTTTTGTTTAATTTTTTGTATTTACTAGTGCTACACATTTGTTCATTACAAGAAGATTCTTTGTGCTAGCAATGACAATATTCATTATTTTTCATCTTCACTGGCATACAAGTTTCAAAATTTTTTCACTGTAGAGGATTGTAACAAAATCATTATGTATGTAGATTAACGGTCAATCTTGCATAATCACTGAATTTATATTTCTTTATCTTTATAATACTTTTGTCATAAAAAAACTTCAGAGTTTTTTATTATAAATTCTAGTTGAATCTGTGAACTTTCAATTCTTAGAAGATATTTACTTTTCAAAACAGAAATACAGGTTTTGATATCACACTTATGGTATTTCAGCTCTGAGTATCCTTTAAATGTAGCCATTAATTACATAGTTTTCATGATTGTCTGTGTTATTTGCTTAACATGTCTTTCCCTCATATGTCTTGTTTTTAGTAAAATAACCTAGTTAATGAAAGTTTAGAATTTTTCCTTTTAGCAACATTGATCTTGATTTCTTGGTACGTATGTGCTATAATATAAATACTGACTGTAATCTTATCCCAGTGCATTGCCTTTGTAATTTTGTTTTAGCCTCAAATTATCCCTATATGTTTGATATGTGTATAATGTGTTATGCTAAACTAATATTTAATTTAATTATGTGCTGTGTACTAAATATCCATCATTGGTTGCATGATAATAACTTCTTTCTTTACTTCAATAACAGTATTTTGACACTGCTGAAGGTGTAAGCAATTATTTAAAAAAAAGTATAATAGATATTTTTTCCCTTCTTTGGCATGAAGCATCTCATTGGCAGCTTTTGGTGGTAAGACAGGCAACACAGAATTTCTTCTCCCTCGTTCACCTTCGACATATTCATACAGGTAGGGAAGGAGTCTTCCAAACCAACAATCATTATTTTTTCTTTCTTTAAGTCAAACATTAAAAAAAGAGTCGACCAGCAATATGTTGTTTGTGTAATTGGAATAGTTACATAAAATCAATAAATTTGAAATAAGAAACATTGAAAAGCTACATAACTGATAACTTTAAACAGGAGAAAAACAAAGGACAGTGAATAAAATGAAATATTGCAAGTACAGAAATGCTGTAGAAACACAGTTCTCTAATAAAGGTGTTACGCATGAAACTTTGTTCTATATTTATATTTTATTTCATTCTGTTCAGGTATTCTCCTCTTTTTCTTTTTTTTGACATACAATCATTTTAAATTTCAATTTGTTTTTATAAAAGTTTTATTATTGTCCAGATCAAATTATCATTTTAAGTTTTGAGAATTCATATTACAAGTCATTTTTTTTCTGTTTTTCGTGATTTTACTTCTCTTGGTCACTTATAAACAGAAGTTAGTGAGTTCACTTTATTTCACATGAGGACTAAAAGGTAATTTTCACAGTGAACATGGATTTTAAATATTTAAGTTATAAGTTTTCATCCTATAAATTCAAAGTTGTTATAAAATGGAGGAAATAGTAGGAAAATGTAATATCCTTTCACATTTGCTCTTCTTTATATAAAAACAACTACATGTAATCAACAGTTGATAATGTCAGCTATTCTTTATATATAAAAACAACTACTTGTAATTAACAATTGAGAATGTCAGCTGTTCTTTATATAAAAACAGCTGTATGACTGCATGTAATCAACAGTTGAGAATGTCAAAATTGTTTGTCATTTTTCACATTGCTTCATTCCTGTAAATAAAAAGAAAATACCAAATATTAGCAAATTACTCTTTTAGCACTATTTTTATTGGTAAATGGTGATACTAAGATATATAACTTAGAAACATATAGAATTTTGGGGGAAAAATAGGGCACTTAACCTGTTTCGGTTTCTTGTTGGTTTTATAAAAGATCAATATAGAAATAGAATAAAAGCTAAAAAAATCCTAACTTGAATTTTTAACAAAATCATCTTAGCTTTACAAATAAAATTTAGGCAATTGCTTTTTGTCTAAGTATCAATGCATTTGTATTTTAGATTGCAATTAAAATTCTAGTATTCCCCAGTAATAGTTTATATGGTTCTGACTCTACCTTTAGTAGAAACTGCAACAAAAATTTATCTTTTTTTGTAAAATTGAAGTATCTCATCAGATGAATATGATAGATATTAGATTTGAAACAGCTGAATGCACTTTCTGGGTGTATATAGGATAACAACAGTTAACACTTTTATGTATGAATACTTTGACCCTCTGGATTCAGGTATATCAATGTATGTCAATAAACTTGCCATTAAAATGTGTCATAATTCGAATTTTAGTGTTATGTACATTTTAATGTTTTAATTTCAAAAGGAAATCAAAATGCCTTCAGTTTTCACATCTGTATCATGTGATGCTTCTTCACTCAGAATTGCCCATTTTACATTTTATTTCCACTTTTATATGACCTTCTGAGTTTAGCATCAATTGCATATTTATAGAATATTTTACAAAATTTATGAGGCTTGCTTGTACAAGCACTAGGTTTAGCAATATCTGTGTCATTGTTTACCTCAACCAGGTAACATGATTTTTTAACCTCTTTATAGCTCAGTTAGAAAGCAAGTTAAATGATAGTTGTTTTAGGACATCCTCTATTTTGTGCATGAAAAAGTTTTATATGGCATATGTGAAATAAAAATTGATATTTTGAGCAATCAACATCATTTGAAAAATAAAAAGTAGGCCTACAATACTTCAATCTCTGATGGCAAAATGATGAGTCCAGATGTAAGTACTAAATTTCTTGTTTTATATGTATATTTGTTTATTGTTATAACAATTATTTAAATCTAAAAGTTAGAAACTTACTAAGTTGGATAATAAAACTTAAAAAAAAGTCAATACATGTATCTTGTGATACTCTATCATAACATAAGCACATTGCAAGGCATGATTGTAATTCAACCATGGTATACTTCTGCTTGTAAGTCGATTGTTTTTTAAAGTTGTCCAACCATGAGAAGTAAGTTTTAGCATACTCTGAGATTGTCCAAGTGTAGCTGTGAAACGATAAAACTAAGTGAACTTAGATTTCAATAGTCTGTCAGCCTTGGATGTAAAAGTAAATAGGGTGTAAGTGTCTGTTACAATATCTGGTCCATATGCAGGATATTTGAAAGGGGAGATATAATTTGTGATATAAAAGCCAGCACAATCAGCATGCTAATGTCATAGAAAATGGGTGCTATGAGATTAAATTTGGAATGAATTTTGTATGAAATATAGTATAAACAACTGTATGGCTGTTTACATAAAATCCACAAGCATCAAAAACAATAATTACTGTAAGCACATGCACTATAACTATATAAGCATAATTTTTTTACATCACAAATATTTTGGGTTTGACCAAACCCCCTTGAACCCCTCCTGCATATGTGCATGAATATGCAGTCATTCGAGGAAAAAAAATGGTAATTTAGATTTATTTTGCATTTTTCAACTTTTAATTTTACCCTACTCTGTTAATTTTGTTACAGTTAGTGTTAGGGTAAAGAAAGTAACAGATAAAATATGAAGTTTTACTGAAAGGAAAAGCTTTTGGTATTCATTTAGGAGGTTCTAGATGAAAACCACCTTTCACTCAGACTGATCAGTAAAGGCTTTATAAATTCAGAAGCAAATCTGTACTAAAAAGCTTGCCAAATTTTGTGAAGGTTATTTAGTACATTAAAAGTTATAGTTTACATATTTTCATGCTTACATGGTGGTTATTAGGGCAGTCAAAATGACTGAGCCCACAGTGAGTTAAGTTTATGTAATGGAACATCCAAGATTTTTTTGTACTTTTCAGTATATATTTGATCTAAGAAAAGGATGTTTAATGAGTTATATGAATTGTGTTTTAACATCTAATTTCACATACTGATATCAGTGAAGATTAAAAGAAAATTTAATTTTTTGCTCCCACTTTTACTGTCTTGGTTTGTGTTAGATAAATGCTATCACTGAATGAATAAACACAGTTTATGTAAAAGTTTGTATTAATGAGTTAAATTTGTTCAGAAAAGTACTATTATTATGTGAATATTCTTCACTTATGAATTTGTCGCATATTATAGTGTTCACTGCATCTGCTATATAAACAAGCTGTATTCTATAGATGCTAAAAACTATTTAATGACAGTTGTTGTTAAAGAAAAATATATCTTTTAAACAGTAGAAACTATTTAAGAGCAGTAGTTATAATAATGATATATCTAGTGTAAGAAACTGTATTCTACGAATATAGTGCATTAGTTTTAGAAGTATCTGCTTTGATTTGGCAGTAAGATGCTTTGTTCTGTGAATAGAAGAAACTACTCATGAAAGTAACTTTAGAAGTATTAGAAATGGTAGTAATTACTTATGCCTTTAAAAGTTTGACTTGTTTTTGTTGTACAAAATACTATTCTAGAGTCAATTTAAGACCTATCGTTTTTGAAATTTCCACTGTCTTTGCTTTAAGGAATTATACTCTAGAAGCAACAGTAATAACTTAAGAATAGTATTGTTAAAAGTGTTCACTGTCATGGCTATATTCTATAAGTTATAGAAATGCTAGTTTGAGAAATGTAACATATTCACTGTCCCTGTTGGAAAAAGCTGTATTCCAAAAATATTAAACTGTTTATGAACAGTGGCATGAAAAAATGTCCACTGTCTCAGCAACAAGAATTCATGTTCAAGAAATACTATAAACTACTTAACATAAGTATTTTAAGTGTCTACTTCTCTTCAACAAAAGGTGTATCCAATGAACGGAAAAAACTGTTTAGGAATATTAATTTTAAAAGTATCCTTTGTAATAACCTCTGTTGAAAAACTACAGCAACTTTATAAGTACTGTCTTTTCACCAAGAAGTTATACTATATCAGCAGTTGAAAAAATCTAAGTAGCTCTTAAAGTGTTCACTGTTTTTGCTTTTAAATTTTCTAGAAACAGTAGAAACTACTTAAGAACAGTAGCTTTGAATGTCATTGTTACTACTTTAAGAATCTATATTCTAGGGACATTAACAATTACTTTAGAATTATGTATCTTGACCCTAGACTTACCAGTTGGATTCATTGGGTTTTTTAATTTATTTTTTAAATATTTATGCACCATATTGCTTGTGAGTTAATTACTTTATTGATTACAGGGCCTCTAATAATGTAAATAATCACATAAGAAATGGAATAAAAATACCATTAATATTCAATTAATTCCACTAAGTGCTACTGGGATTTCCTTTGTATTTTGTTTTGAACATAAAATTATTTTATATGATGCAACATTTGACCTCACCAGTAGTGAGTGGAATAAAATAAAATATCTTGAGAATTTAAGTATTCATTTCCCCTTTTATCAGAAATTTTGAATTAAAAACATTAATAATTACTTAAGAATAATAGTTTCAAAAGTGTTCACTGTCAGTGCTATGAGAAGTTTTATTTTAGAAACAGTGGATATCCAATAGCTCTCCAAGTGACCTCTTCCCCTGCTGTAACAAGCTTACTAAAGAAGCAGTAATTGTAGCTGTCTAAAGACAGTAACTTCTAAAATTTCCACTGTCTTTGCTTCACTGTTTTACATGTTGTAGAAACTTCTTTGAATAGTAGCTGTTAAAAACCCTAGAAATACTATTTACTACCTGTGAACAAATCAGTAAAAGTGTGCCCTGTGTTTTATGTGAAGCTATATTCCAGAAATAGTAGAAACTGCACAATACCAACAGCTTTAAGTGTCCTCTATCTCTTCTGTAAGAATCTGTATTTGTAAACCAATAAAACTTTTTATAAACAGTTGCTCTAAACATATTCATTGCCTTTTGTATGTTAAACTGTGTTGAACTTCTATAAATTACTTGAGAACTGTCTCTGCCTTAAGTGACAGTTGAAACTTAAGAGTTGTCTTTATTCAGGGTGGCCTAAGTCCTGGAAATGTTAGGTAAACTAAAATTCAGCAAAATACATCAGAAAAAGTAAGGAAAATTATTTAAAAAAATTAGTGAAATCTGAAAATGTTTGGGGAACAAATTGAATGTGGATTGTTGCACCATAATGAGATATGCTCATTGGCACTGAATATAGCAGATATACCATGGCTGACATATTTTTCTCTCTTTTCAATCATAATTTATTAGAATTTAGAAACAAGCACCAATTTCTTGAATTAATCCATTTTTGACTGTCTGCAAATGAAACTTTTCACCTGTTAAAGTTGATTATAAAGATTACAAGTTCAGTTTTTGTGGTTGTCCGGCCTACACTATGAGATTTTACTCTAGTTGTAGTATAACTATGCAAGAAAGTTATTTAAAAGTATATGCTGTGTATTGTAGAAAGGTACATTTATAGGATGAAATTGTCAGTAGTTTTGAAAGTGTGATTTAGTATGTTAGTAATTTAAGATATAAATTATTGAAAAGTGTTAAAAAAGTTCATAAAGTTAATGCAACTATATAATATGTTTTTCCTAATGTAAAGTCATTTTTAAAACATTTCAAAAGCTTAGGAAACTAATATATTTTAATAATTTTTATATTGTTTTTAAGAGAGTACAGCTTCTATCTACTGTTAGACTGGGAACTGACATTTTTAATATATATATATATATATATATTGGTTCTCAAGTGTGTGTAACCTTTATTGCTTTTGTTTTGGTAACTGGTATTAAAGCAAATTCTCATAAAATGTGTACACTAAAAGACTGAAATATATGTTTATAACAGTCCTACTTTTTTTTTCCTATTTTGTCACAAGCACTAACAGAAACTAAGGCATTGTGGCATTGGTTATCAATTTCTATTTGTTATGTTACAACTATTTTCTGACCAGTTGTTAAAAAGATGTTTAAAAACAAACTTAAGTGTATGTCTGTGTGAACAAAATGCAAAAATATAAAAGATAACTCAAGATAACTTGTGTAGGTATTGCATAAAGAAGGTAAGGTTTGTGTGGATGTTTGCTAAAATAAAGTACATAAAAATTGGGTTAGTGTGGTGTAAATTTTATTTTCAAGGTAACTTTATTTTGAAAATAAAGTATTATCTGTTTTACTTGTGCATATATATGTATTTCGTTGTGATAACCAAAACAATTGTAAAAATGAGCATTAATTTTGTGTCTTGTAGTAAAAACATTGAACTTTTTTTAGTCTAGGTTTGTGTTCTTCATAATTCTTATACTTTTTTTTCCTTAATTTGTTATAGTATGTTTTTTTATTTATTGAAGAACATTGGGAGAGGAAGATAGTTGCAACCGTAAAATTTTTCTTTTATTTTAAATTTTATCAAATTAAATTTTTTTTTTTGGTGGGTTTTAATAATCAAACAGTAAGTTACTAAAATACTTCTTTTAAGTTTTCTAATTTTCCTATTTTGTGTATAATTAAAATGTACCTTGTATAATACACTGTTTTATGCCAGTTTTGTTGTCCTTGACTATGAAACTCCACCATCAAAAATAAATATGGAATAGTGAATGTGGAAACTACTAAAGTATTTAAAATTTCTGTTGTAGATAGTGAAAAAGAAAAGTTTGATAAAACCTTGGAACAAGATAAATGTTTTAACATTATCTTATTGAGATGCACTGTTTTAATAAGTTTTTAGTGTCACTGTATTTTACCATGATGATTATCATTATTGTTTCTTAAACAAGCATTGAAATAACAAACTGTTTGTTTACCTGACAGCTCTGACTCAGCTGATGGTACCATAATGACAAGACGATCTAGTTCAGGAATGCTCAGTCCACCTGTTGATGGATTCCACACCATTCAGGAGGGAGAATTCTTTATGCTCAAGAAAGATTCTCAGCGCAGAACAACAATCGTTCATGTTTTAACTGAAGATGAAGAAAAGGTAACTTAGTAATGCTTGCCAATTTTTATTTATTGCTGTCCAACTTTCTTTGATAAAGGTGGAATTGTAATGTTGTCTATTTTTGCTTTGAATAATAAAGTTTGTGTTAAGATTTGCATTATAATAATTGTTTGCATTGAACAAAGAAAATGAATTTAACAGGAACATTTTGTTGAGTAAAGAACCTACCCAATCCGGTTTTTCTAAATTTGAACCTAAATTTTTTTGACATTTTTATTGGCTAAAAAGAAGGCATTTATTACACTCTTTTAGCATTGGGGCTCCGAAAAGCAATTTGAAGTGGTTGGTGACTGACATGTGTAAGTGTATCACAAGCTTAATGGCCAAGCATAAGAAGCATGGAAGTATCCAAATAACATGCAGAGGTATTCAGTAACCATTTATAACCATCTTGGTAGATGTTGTGAAGAAAGCAAATACAATATTATGCCTGTAGCTGCTTTCAAAATGTTACTGTCTGCTCATCCTACTGCTGACAATCATGATGTTTCAACCTTCCCTACCAATTGCAGGTGGAATCAGTTGAAAGCTAAAGGTGATAGCAGAAGCATAAAAGGTTGGAAGTTGCTAATTAATGATGCTGAGAATGTGGCTTTAATGATCTATACTGAATTTACTACCAGCAGGTAAACCTTAGTACTAGCTAGTATGGAGACTTGAGGATGCTATATTTCACTTAAAAATTTATCAATTAACAAAGGAAAACTTGTACTGAAGTTTTCTCAAAGATACGCCCAAACCACCCTCTTTGGGAGTTTCTGGATTGAACTTGCTTTTAATATTCAACAAATTGTAGTGGCTCCTTAGGGGCGTAATAAAAAATCTAATGCCTTTAATTTATGTTGCTGAAAGTTAATCATATAGTTAATACATGTTTTACTGAAGTTAACTAATTATGGATTCGTATTTGTAATTTATTACCTATTAATTTTGCATGGGAAGCAAATTGTGCTGATTTCTTGCAAAAATAAACATTATTCATTGAGGGGAAGCTAACTTATACTTGAATATTTCATCATATAATAACAGATCTGTGAATTTTGGATGGCACAGTTACAGGATCGTCTCAAAAATCTACTAATTACCTCGGTAAGTTTTTCCATACTATGAGTGTATCAATGTTGTGCTGGTTTTGCATGTCAAAAATCATTTTAATAAATAAATGTTCATATGAAAAGTTTTAAAGGATTTCATCCATTTATTGGAAGATAATATTTTGATGTGTTAGTATTCATCAGGACCTTCAATAAGAAAATTCTCCAAATTAATATTAGTTACTAGCACATATTTTGTATTAATATTCTTTTGGATATAAAAAAGCAAGCAATGAATGGTTGATCATTGATTCAGAACATTCATTGAATGACAGTATGTACGTAATATGTTTATTGCTGTACTTATTGATTGGCATAATATCCAACAGAATGTTTGTTGCCTGTTTTTATTTGTACTCAGTTAATATCAGTGTATAATTAAAGTAATCAGTGATGAATTTGAACTTATTTGATGCTAAATGGTATATGGCTTGTTCATTGATGTTTTTTTTTATATGGTCATCAACAGCCAGTATATCTCGTTTGGTCACAGTGGCTACAATTATGTTACATTATATATTCATACTAACATAATATTAAAGGACAGCAAGGGATATAGGCTGTCCTATCTTCTAAATAAAACTAAATTCTTAAAAAAAACAAAAAAGTCTTATCACTCAAATATTTATCAAGTTTCCCTTATACTCACCCTCTGAAGACATTCTTTTCCATAGGCCAACCATCCTGTTAAAGAAATAAAGCTATATTAGCTGAAGATGGCTTCTTTTCTGCCACATTTTTGTCCCTTAGTCTTACCATTCTCACCAATAAATATGGGAAAATATGATATATCAACACTGTTAATTTCTTTAACTATCTTAAACACCTTAGTCAGATCTCTTGTAACTCTTCTTTTTTCAAGAGAAAACAAGTTCAAAGATTTTAACCTTTGCTCATACAATAACCTTTCAATCCCAGGTATTATCCTGGTAATCTTCTTTTGAACCCCATATAACAATTCAATGTCTCTTCTGAGGTAAGGAGCAGAAGACTGAACACAGTACTCCAAATGTGGCCTAGCTAATAAACTGTACAATGACATTATAACCTCTTTAAACTTATTTTCTATATTTCCATAGATATAACTTAAAATCCTATGTGCCTTTCACTAGCAAAGGCACATTGCTTGGATAGCTTAAAAGATTGATCAACTAAAACACCAAAATATTTTTTTTTTCCATAACACTGTTAATGCTATTACCATCAAAATTATACCTGCAATTCAAATTGTGATATAAGTCTTAACACCTTTATTAAGCAGTCAACCACCCTGGATATAACTCTATATACTGTGTTATCATAGCTCTTACATTTTACTTTTAACTAAGTATAAAGCTGTTTTTTTTTTGTATAGCATAACTCGATTAACCCTATATGTATAGGTATGGTCAAAGTGTGCATGTCTTGACCTTTTAAAGAGTTGCATTCAAAATTAAAATAAAAAACTATTAGAAATGTATGTCTGTAAATTTGGCATGAAAATATAACTTATAACTCATGTTATTATTATATTAGTTTTAATTTCTTACTTCAAAACAGAATATTTAGATAAATTATCAGTGTTGTCTGTATCATGTGACACTTCTTTGCTTCTTAAAGTTCACAATTGTACTATAGATATCTCTGAGATAAAGTGTGAACTTATAGCCTCTAGTCATCTTGTTTCAGTGAGTTATGTGCAATAAAATGAGACCCACTGCCATGTCCTGTTTTCAAAAAAATCAGTAGCTCTCTGACATTTTCTGTTGGATTGTTTGTAGCCAATAGAAAGAGATCTTAAGTTACTGATTTCTGTATAAGACTGTCTCTTTTTGAAACCAATGTTTCAATTATTCAGCAAACTGATTCATTGTTACTATTGCCAAGAACACATTGACCTAGTAGGGGAATTATTTTAACCAATTCTAGTGTAATTAGAAAGCCAGTTAAATTATAATAGTTATAGGGCATTGTATTCTTTGTGCTTGTTTTTATCATAAACTGCATATTTGAAATACATGAAAATCAGGTAAAGTACTAAAAACAATCCTGTAAAAAACCTATGGTTGACTTTTATCAAGACTTTGACAGCAAAAATACAAGACCACACATAAGTACTAAATATTTTGTTTTTATATCTATTTTTTTATTTATTGTTATATAACTAACTAAAATTTAAAGATCAGAAAATTATTAGATTAGATAAGATACATTGTTAGAGTCCTAAAATATAAAGATAATATATATCACCAACAGTGTTAGGATTTGCATTTTGGGTTGTGTAGTTTCTTGATTATTAAATAACTGTATTATAAAATAAATCTTTACACTAAATATAATAGTCATTAAATTTGCATTATTCAGGATCAACACCATTGACAAGGGTGGTATTATCTTTACAGATGGCTCCATCCTAGAAGATGGAGGTTTTGGCAGTGAAATATGATATATGTTTTCTAAACAATCACTAGAAATATCTCATACCAACCCAGTTGCAACTCCCATTTTCAAGGTTGAACTCATTGCTATCAATGAGGCCATTTCCCTCTGAAATAAAACTTGTCCAATAAAATGCACAATACTAACAGATTCACAAGCTGTAATCAAAGCAATATAAGTGTTCTACCAGTTACTTAGAAATTCTCATTAAAATTGCAAGAAATTTAAACAAATTACACAAGTTTACTGAAGTTAGATTTCTTTGGATTCCTTCACATTTTGGAGTCCCAGGAAACAAGAAAGCTGATATCCTGGCAAAGAAAGCAGCTATGAATCAAGATTCCAAAATTAAGCAGATGCACCTAACACATCAACTGCAAACACTAAAGAGGAAAGTGACAGAGGAATGGTATAAGAAAATGAATGACAGCTGGTACTCGGGAAACAAACCTGTCACTACAATCACAAGCAATTTAAATATACAAGATACAACCCTCATTGCAAGACTTAAATTCAAATAGCTCAGGCACACAAAATTTTGAAATGGAATAAAAACCCACCCTTCCTGTACAAAATGCAATTGAGAGGAAACAAGTGTGAACCATGTTCTAATGTGTTTAGAAACTACACCTGATGAAATGTAAAATACCCCAGAGAAGATTTTCAGTTTAGTGGATGTGCACTCTCTTCGTAACCTGATATAATGATCTGGGGATAAGAAACAACAACATTCTCAGGTTGAAAATCTTGTGCTTTATGGCCAACATAAAAAACTTTAACCCCACTTTAATTTGTTCATCTGATAACTTAGTACATTATAATGAAAAAAAAAGATAGCCTTACTTCCAACCAGCATAACTGGTTTGCAATTTTGATTGCAACATTTAAAACTTGTCAAAATAAATAGTGTTTATAATTTCTGACTTACAAGTTTTGTAACTGAAAACAACTTTAATAAAATAAAGTAAGTTTTTTATTGTCTGGTTGCTAAATTTCTAATTTTGTTTTATTTTAAATGAAACAGGTTTTTAAAAGTAATATGAAAAATGTTTTTCAAGTTTGACATGGTTAGCTAACTCAACTTGTTAACATTTCGTTAATCATCATTATCTATCTAAACCAAATACTGATTTATTTCATTAAGTCAACAAAGGTACTATATGGTTTAATTTTGTGGTAAACTAAGAATGTTAAATTTTTTGTAGATGAAGTAGATGTAAGTATAACTATGTATATATATATTATTATTACTTTTTTTTTCCTCCTGGAAAAGGATTTGTCTCAGCCTGTGTGTTGAACTTGAAATATAGACTTGTATGCATTAGAAAAAGAAGGTTGAAAACTGTGCTCTATACTCCATATTAAATTAATGGTTATTAGTATGTTCAACTCATTATATTTACTGTATAAGGATGTGCTCCACCTACACTGGAAATGAAAAATACCTATTTAACTACCTTGGATGAAGTCAATTTTCTTCTCTTAATTACTTACTTTCTTTGAAATTACAGAAACATCTTCATATTCTTCTTCAAGGTCTGTGTAAATATATTCAAGAACAAAACAAAAGTAGCTTAGAATCAGCATATAGTAAGTATTTCATATTTAATTAGGGTTTTACCTTTATTAATGTTGACTTAGGATTTTTTTTATTTTTAGCTATATTAGACTTGATATTGACCAGTTAACATTTCATTAATTTACTTAGCCATTTATCTTAACCAGTGAACTTTCTTATTTCACATTAGCCAGTGGGATGTATGCATATAGTATATTTACTGTAAACATTAGCTTTTTAATTCTACATATATTTAAATTTGTATTGGCTACTGAACTTAAACATCTGCTAGTAAGACTTACTTATATTTCAGTTCATATTGACAAGTGAACTTAACTATTATTTATTTCATATTAACCACTATGATATACCCAAATCAGACTTTATAATGACCAGTATTTGCAACTTTTCTAAATTTTATCTTTGATAATATTATGAACCTATAAAGAAAGTTCATATTGGCTGGAAATTTTTACCTTAATTCACGTTAGTCAATGTGATTTACCTAAATGAGGGTTTTGTAACCTAGTGAACTAAACCTTTCTTTAATTCACATTAGTCAGTGAGAGTTGATAATAGTCAGTCATCTTCATTTTTTAGCATCTATTAAATTTACATTAGCCAGTATGATGAATCTAAATCAGAGATGATATTGGACAATTAGCTTAGATTTTTGACATTTTGTAATAGGATGTGATGTCATTGAAAATCAATCAATTTTGAGGAAGGGTATTTGACAGCCTTTTCCAACACAAAATATTCTTACACTCAAATCATGAATATATCATTATTTTTCCATAAGTCTGCATTCATATTAACTGTTGAATTTAACCTTTTTTTAACATTTATTACCAACTTTGTTGTTTCAAATTAGCCAGTGGGATGCATATAGTATATTCAATGTAAACATTAGTTTAATCTTTTCTTTAGCTAACAATAGTCAGTTTGTTTTAAATATTTTAGTGTTTTTATAACCGCTAATAATCTTAACTGTGGTTTAACCCCCTCACTATAGACAGGTCAAAGTGCACATGCCATGGCTTTTTGTAGAGATACCTTCAATACTTAATTGAAATATTTTATTATCATTGTATATGAATAAACTTGGCATCAAAACATAGTTATTGAATCAAATTTTTTTAATATTGTGTAAGTTTTAAGCTTTTAATTTTATAAGGAAATAATTTTAAAAAGCATCAATCTCCCCTAGTATGAGAATTGTAATATTTATTCTCTAGGGCTTCCCTCTTCTCAAATTTATTTCCTACCCCTATGAGAAGTACATAATTTAACATAACTTACTTATTATAATATAGATATTACTCAAGCAAGGTATAATTTTGATAGCCTTCTATCTTATTTGTTTATGGTGCCATAAATAAGAAAATCAGACTTGCCATGTCAACCTGTCACATTCTTTCTTTCACAAATAACCAGTACCTTCTGACATTGAATATTATATTACTTATAAACCAATAAAAGGCCAAAGTTTTAAGCTATCAAATGACATGTTGTTTTCTGTAAGGAGAATTGTCTATTTCATCTTCAATTTGAAACATTTTCTCATGCTTTTCGCATTGACAATCTTAGCTGAATTTTAAAGGCTCTTATCGCATAGTTAGAAAGCCAGAAAAATTATGATAGTTATAGGAAGTTGTTTGGTTTGTACATGTTATTATTGTTTATTTTTAGGTGCATTATTTAATTAAATAAAAATCATTTAGTGTAGTAGTACCATTAGTATAAAAAACCAGACTTAAGTTTCATTTACAGTTGGCAGCACAAAAAAACAGAGGACCCAGGTAATACTATATTTCTTGTTTTTCATTTGCATTCTTTATTTATTATTATAAAAATAACTAAAACATAAGAATTACAAACATAGTAGGTTAGATAATGAAAAATAATAACAAATATTCTTCATGAGCAATTCATGTATTACATAATTTGATGTGATAATGTGAGCTGCACATTTACCAAGTGATTTACAAATTCTATGTTTAGTTGAACACATTTTAAATCTCTCAATATGGGATTGGTCAATTTGACCAAGTCGCATAACTTTTTGTACTCATTTAAAGTCTATAAATTTAATACTTATAACTCTCAATGTAGTATGCATATCTTCACGAAATTTGGAAGTCTTTCAGTTAATATTACAAGTCTTTCACATACAAAAATTCATATTTCTTAGTGAAGTATTTTCAATAAAATAAAATAAAGATTTGTCCATTAATGTATTGAGTATTTGTTTTGAATAGTCTGTGTGCAAAGTAATTTTCATGTTAAATTAAAAATACTTTTCATCATCTCAAAAATCTCAAATTTTCTTTGTATAATCCCTAGAACCTCCTAAATGCATTTCAAACATGTTTTTTGTTTGTTGCTAAATCCCTATAGTTTATCTGTTATTTTCTCTACTCTATCTCAAAACGGGATCGATCAATTCGACTGACCTGTAACCACCAAGAAAAAAATGAAATAAACCTAAATTAACCTTTTTCTTCTTTCTAGAATGACTTCAAATTGTAACATGAAACTACATTCGTTTATCCTAAGTAGCTCTAAGTTCGTAACAATATACATCTATTTATAATTAAATTTTATTGTTTTGTTGCCCTTTGTACCATGTCTAGCTGCTATCCATGCCATTATAAGTTGTAAATCACTCGGGGAACATGTAGCTCACGTTATGCTATCGAATTACATTACCCAAGAGCTTCTCATATGCGTGCCTCGTAAGCTATTATTATTATTACTTATTTTACCTAATCTAGCCTTAAATAACTTAAAAAGATCCGTATATTTTAAATTTTAGTTACTTTTATAATAATAAAGAATAAATATGAAAAACAAGAAATAAAGTACTTATCAAATCTTCTTTTTTCTTGCCCTCAATTG